TTTGGGCTTTTTTTGTTAGTATTGGCTTTTACACGATCAAAAACTGCAGTTAGTAAAAGTGTATGTAGCCAAGTAGAGACCTCCAAAAAGGATGCGTCTCTCCAGAACCATTCCTCTGTGGGGTGTTTGAGCTTATGAGTCACTCCAGGGGACATTGCACAAGAAGCCTGCCTGTGATGTGAACAGGTGAATGATCTCCTTTTGCTGGTGGCCAAGCTTAAAGGGGAAGTTAAAAGACTAAGGAGTATCAAGGAAAGTGAAAGGGGAATAGACTGGTGGAGTTCAGCCTTTCCATTCTTCAGGGAGACCCATTGAGCGTCAGAAGGCTTCCATGTTTCCCACTGTCAATAGGAGGCAATAGGAGGACAACTGGTAGATGAAGGGGAGTGGAAATGGGTCCCTACTTGGGGAAATAATAAAAACTCTTCCTGACCCCCATCACCTACCCAGGTGCCACTTCAGAATAGGTTTGAGGCCCTGGATCTAGAGGGTCAGCCAGAGGAAGTAGAAGAAAATGATCTGCCCAGTGAGCTTCCCAATTGCACTTAGTCTGTCAGACAGACCACCACTTCCGACATTAAAAAGAAAAGAAGGGTAGTTGTAGTAGGTGACTCCCTTCTGAAGAGAACAGAGGGGCCCATATGTCAGCAGACCCCAACCCACATGGAGGTCTGCTGCCTCCTTGGGCCTGGATATGGGATATTACCAAGAGACTCCCTGGGCTGATTCAACCCTCTGATTATTACCCACTGCTGATCCTCCAGGCTGGCAGCAATGAGATTGAGAAAAGGAGGTTCAGGGCAATAAAAGGGACTTTAGGGCACTGGGTCAAGTGGCTGATAGGGCAGGAGCACAGGTAGTGTTCTTCTCAGTCCCTTTGGTGGCGGAGAAAAATGTTGAAAGGAACAGAAGAACTCATGTTATTAACAAGTGGCACAAGGATTCTGCTCAGCAGCAGAATTTTGGGTTCCTTGATCATGGGGCAACTTTTTTGGCACCTGGCCTGCTGGAACTGGATGGGCTTCATCTCTCTGTTAAGGGCAGAAGGATTGTAGCTCATGAATTGGCAGAACACATTGAGAGGGGTTTAAAGTAGGTTTGAAGGGGAAAGATGAAGCAGGCCCAAGGGTGGTAAGACTGTGTTGGGGTGAAATGTGGGATGGCTCACATGGCTGCAGCGCTGCACTGGATGGCTACAAGTTCTTTAGAAGGGACAGAAAAGGGAGAAAGTTGGAGGGGTGGCCCTTTATGTTAGGGAGGCTCTTGATGCCATGGGTATTGAAACTAATGACGATGAAGTTGAGTCCCTATGGGTAAGAATTAAGGGAAAGGCCAACAAGGCTGACATCCTACTGGGAGTCTGTTATTGTGCACCCAGCCAGGAAGAGGGGGTGGACAATTTATTCTATAAGCAGCTGGAGAATGTTTCAGGATCACCAGCCCTTGTTCTTTTAGGTGATTTTAACCTACCAGACATCTGCTGGGAACTAAATACAGCATATAAGAGGCAATCTAGGGAGTTTTTAAAGTTTGTGGAGGATAACTTTTTGTCACAGTTGATGAGTGAGCTACCAGGAAAGGGACTATGTTAGACCTGCTTGGAAGTAAAGATACCTGCATGGGAGATGTGATGGCTGGAGGCTGCTTGGGGCACAGTGGTCATGAAATTATAGAATTCTCAATATTTTTGAGATCAGGAGGAACATCAAACTTCAAGACTTTTATATTAGATTGCAGACTTTGCCTGTTTAGGAGACTTATTCAGAGAGTTCCTTGGGTAGTAGCCTTTAAAAATTAAGAAGTCCAGGAAAGGTGGGTGTGCTTTAACACAGAGATTTTAAGGGCACAGGAATAGACTGTGTGCCGAAAGATGAGCTGACGAGGAAAACGTCCAGCCTGGATGGGCAGTGAGGTTTTGAAGGAACTTAGGCATAAAAGGAGGATGTATCATCTTTGGAAGGAGGGTCAGATTTTTCAGGAAGTATTTAAGGGGGTTGCTAGGGCACATAGGAAAAAAATAGGGAGGCCCAAGTTCAGTTTGAACTTAATTTAGCAACTTTTGTAAAGGATAATAAGAAAATAAAAATTTTTTTCCAAATATATCAGTGGCGAAGTGAAGGGTACCAATTGTTGTTCTCTATTGGATACGAGAGGGAACTTAGTAACTGCAGATGAGGGGAAGGTGGAAGTCCTTCTATGCTTTCTTTAGTGGGAAGATGGCTTGTCCTCAGGACAGCTGTCCTCCTAGGTTGGCAGATGGTGTCAGGGAGCTGAGTGGCACCCTGTTATCCAAGAGGAGGCAGTCAGAGACCTGCTGAGATGCCTGGATGTTCACAAATCTATGCAAGCAGATGGGATCCATCCCAGGGTGATGAGGAAGCTGGCAGATGAGCTTATGAAGCCACTCTCCATCATTTACCAACAGTCCTGGCTCACTGGTGAGGTTTCAGATGTGCTGCCCATTCACAGGAAGGGTAGGAAGGAGGATCCTGGTAATTATAGGCCAGTTAGTCTGACCTCAATACCTAGTAAGGTAAACCCTCAGCATGGGTCTAGGAGGGGTAGGTCACGTTTGACCAGACTAATCTCCTTCTGTGACCAGGTGACCCACCTGGTAAATGCAGGAAAGGCTGTGGATGTGTCTGTTTGGACTTCAGCAAGGCCTTTGGCCCTGTCTCCCACAGCACACTCCTGGAAAAGCTGCAGCCCACGGCTTGGAAGGAGAACTCTGTGCTGGGCTAGGAACTGGCTGGATGGCCGGCCCAGAGAGTGGTGGTGAGCGGTGCTGCATCCAGCTGGGGCCAGGCACCAGTGGTGCCCCTCAGGGGTCTGTACTGGAACTAGTTCTGTTCAATATCTTCATTTATGACATGGATTAGGGTATTGGTAGTCCTTCACAGAATTTGTAGGTTTGCAGATGACACCATGCTGGGAGCATATATTGATCTGTTGGAAGGGAGAAGGGCTCTGCAGAGTGACCTGAAACAGTTGGATGCATGGACAGAGTCCAATAAGATGAAGTTTAACAAGTCCAAGTGCTGAATCTTGCATTTTTGCCACAATAACCCCCTGCAACGTTACAGGCTGAGGACGGTGTGGCTGGACAGTGCCCAGGCAGAAAGGGACATGGGGGTACTGATCAACAGCAGACCGGACATGAGCCAGCAGTGTGCCTTGGTGCCAGGAAGGCCAATGGCTCCTGGCCTGCATTAGGAATTGTGTGACCAGCAGGAGCAGGGAGGTCATTCTCCCCCTGTACCCAGCACTGGTGAGGCCACACCTTGAGTGCTGTGTCCAGTTCTGGCCCCTCAGTTTAGAAAGGACATTAAGATGCTTGAGCGCATCCAGAGAAGAGTGACAAGGCTGGTGAGGGGCTTGGAACACAAGCCCTGTGAGGAACAGCCGAGGGAGCTGGGGGTGTTTAGCCTGGAGAAAAGAAGACTCAGAGGTGACCTTATCACTCTCTACAACTCCCTGAAAGGTGGTCATAGTCACGTGGAGGTTGGTCTCTTTCTCCAGGCAGCACTGACAGAACCAGAGGACACAGTCTCAAGCTGCACCAAGGGAAATATGGGTTGGATATTAGGAAGAAGTTTTTTACAGAAAGGGTGGTAAAGTATTGGAATGGTTTACCTGGGGAGGTGGTGGAGTCACCATCCCTGGATGTGTTTAGAAAAAGACTGGATGCAGCACTTGGTGCCATGGTCTAATTGAGGAGTTAGGGCTGGGTTGGGCTTGATGATCTTAATTGATGATCTTAAAGGTCTCTTCCAATCTAGTGATTCTGTGTGTACGATTCTGTGCAAAAATACTGGGTTTCTTTCCTCATGCTTGTTCTGAAATATTGAACTCTCCCTTTGTAGGTAGAGAGAGACAGACTTCACAGCCAAGGCAACATGAGATCACCATAGTACGTACACTCAGGATTATGAAGCCTATATTCCTCTATGGATCTGATACCAGAACAGCCAAATTTTGGTTTTGCACTACAATACACCTGTACATATGACTTAATATGGGCTTTAAGGTGGAATCCTTTCAGAGCACCCTGATATCCATTTGAAAAGAGTTTTCAAACATAGATGTCACTGTTTCACTGTGCTCATTGTCTATTTGTTCCTGTGTAGTGCTGGCTTTGCTTTCCGATATATACTTGCTGTTTCACTCAGACTTCTAAATGGAAGACTCTGCTGCTACCTGGCCAGGTTCAAATTTGTTATTTAGGTGCCTGGAATAAATGCAGATTTCCAAATTCAACATGTAATTCCCTAGTGTTTAACATCTCAACTAGTTAAAATCCAGAATACATGCAGCTTCTCTGGAAGTTGCCTTTAGACTGGCAACCAGATATGATTTTTCTAAAATTTCATTTACTTAGAATTTAAAAACTGCTCTGTATCTGGAAGTGACTACAGGAAAGGCTTTTGTTTCTCAACAAAAAGCTCTGCTCACTGCATTCAGGAGGACAGGATAAACAAGCATTAACCAGGTTCTCCTCCTGTTACCCTTAGAGTTGACTCATCCAAAAGGAATACACTGAATCTTCTTTTGTATATTCTTCATGAAGTTGCTTACTGAATGCCAACTTTTTATGTCCTTCAAAAACAATGTGTTTCCCTGTTCCTGCTGAATGTTCTCACGACCATATGCAAACAGAAATTAACTGATCTTGACTTTCAAATCCCATGCTAAAATTGGGCTTGTCAGAAAGTACTTAATTTTAATTTGAATATACTGATCTGAAAGTTCCAGAAGAATGATAAATGCAGGATACTCAAAAGACCTGCCTGAGAGACATGAGTATATCAGTTTAACAAAAAAAGTTTTTGTTTTAAGATAAAGGTAGGGAATACAATTTGGAGTGTCTTAGTTACAACTGACACTGTGACTTCAGCTGCAAATGCTTTTACCAGCCACGGATGCCAGTTGTGCTTCTTTGTGACATCTTTGAACATCACACGTTGTCTTAGTGTACTTCTCAGGTTCGTCCTGCTGTATTCAGTCTGTCATCCTGGCAATGGTAAACCCACGGTGTTCTTTATTCCTACCAACAGAGTTTGGCACATGTATCAGTGGATTGGTGTGAGAGGACCATATGGTATTGCTGCAACTGAGGAGGGATTCCTTGTGGAAGTGTGAGTGCTGGAAGTTTTACGTCACCTGTAGGTGTTTTTTGTTCTTGACAATTGTTATTTTTACTTTATTGAAATGGACATGTCTGTCCATAAGCAACTGATAGGCAGGAAGATAAGTAGCCAGGAGAATAGATCTGTGTACCTCTCAAATGTGTAATGGTCTGACTCTCAGAAAGCTGTCACCGTAGTTCTTCATAGGGAACTTCCTTGGCATATGGCTATAAGTGAGATAGTCTGTTATAACTCAATAACTTAAAAAACCCCAAACTAAAATATAATGTGCTGTGTTTCCCTCTCTGATGATTAGGAAGCAGAATGTCCTGAGATAAGAAAAAATCTTCAGGTTTCTCTGTTTATGTGAAGAAAAGACTCTAAGAACAGCAAGGCTTGACACCTCTATCTGTGTGTGCTGAAATGTGATAAACACTAGTTGGTGTTCCTGTGTTCCATGAAGTGTTTACAACCTGGAAGTAGACAAGAGGTAACTGGTGCTTGAGCAATCAAGCAGCTGGAACACAGTCACAGCTAACACAGAGAATGGATATTGCAGTGTCTATAGTAGTATGTTTTCTTCATTCTTTGTTGGTATTATAGATTTGACACTTAAAATAATTACTTTCTAGAAACTTTTCTCCTATAGATCTAATGAAAACCACAGGCTTTTTATAAGCAAAAGCTGTCACAGAAAGAAATAACACAGACAACTCAGGTGTTAGACGTTGTGTTTGGCAGCACATTAACCAGTTGGGAGCTGGATGTTAGCAGCTGAATGTTCTATTTCTTGCCCTTGTGAGGGTGTTCTCTAAAGGTTGAGAACAAAGGACATAATCGTAAGAAGCCTGCTTCTTAGTTCTGCTACCCACAGAACACCTTGTAATATTTACATTTTCAGGTAATGAGAAAATCTGTATTTTCAAAGCAGAAATTGATCCAATGAGAAATATAAAATAAGATCTTGCCTCAGGACTGCTGGTTTATGGCACTGGTCAGATCTACATAGGGAGCATTACAACAGAGCAATTAATAATATTAAATCATAACAAAACAGAGCATTCTTTAGTTTTATAGGGGAAGAGGAGATTGTGAGTCTTGGCTTTCTACTTCCATGCACATGTAGAGGAAGGTGTGACCTTCCCTCAAGCAGACACCATTTAGCAAGGGGTTGCTAAATGTTGCCATGCAGGCATGAGCAGTAATGTAGCTTTAGCAGTGTGCAGCACTGCAGAATCCAGCTGCACAAGGGTTTATTTCTGGGACAGACTGAACAGAACTCTGCTGCAATTGTAGTTACCCCTGGAAAGCTTGCCTTGATGACCTCCAGGTGAACAGCATGGTAGAGATGCCACTGCCCACTGCACACAGCCCCAAAAGTGGGTATTAGATAATTCCCTTGCCCTTGAAATGGAGGCATCAGGGTGTGTGCGTGTGAGCCCTGCAAATTGATAAGCACTGATGCTGAAGCCTAGCCAACCATGTTCTCTGGCACAGCCTAATGCTCATGCTGGAGATGCTTTTCCAAATCCTAAATTGCGCCTGGAAAGGGTTTCCTATTTTTGAATCTAATCTCCTTTTTCTTTCTTTACAAATAAGCCAAATAACATGCAGGGTATACATTGCAATCACATGTTAAGTCCAGGCTTTTTTCATATATCTCAGGATATACCTCTTCATTTCCAGTAGTGCTCAGAAGACCACTCAGTAGACTCAGAAAATAATGGAACCTTACTGTCCTAGATGTGAATAAAAACCCTAAAATTATAATTTTCAACCTTGAGAATTTGTTTTCTGAAAACCTGATCTGTAGTGAAGAGCTAGTGAAAACAGTGTTATCAAGATTACCTGAAGTCCTGCAGGGCAACAGTGCCATTAATTATATGCTTAAGGTTAAATGCATATAAATACAAGATCTGGGCCTAAGAAAGTAAGTGATTTAAAAATAGAGAGATGCAATTAATTCTGCATTTTAAAGGTAAATTGAAAACATGTCCACATACTTTTGTGTCCTTTATATTGATGTTACATAGCTGTTTAAAAATTGAAAAAAAAAAAAGGAGATTTCATTTTTGCCTGGGAATGAAAAGCAGTTATATCAAAGACAAGTTTGTTACTGAAACAAAAACTAAATACTCAAATATGGATTTTGAAGCAGAGAGTACAGTAGCTTTTAAAGAAGCAATATAAGCTATGTGACTGCTAGAATGATTGCAAAATGCAGGCAAAAAAGCTGTTTTCTGATGATTTCTAGAAAAATGCACTTGAAAACAGATAGGGCCAGGACATAATTTTATTAGTTCTTGAGCATCTTTCCTCTCTGAGTTGCTGTTTTTGTTTGTTTGGTTGGTTTGGTTTGGCTTGTTTATGTAGAGCAACGCATTGCTGTATTTTAGGCCTAGGTTAAAAAAAAGTCAAAGAAAGCACTGTTTCTAGTCAAGGAATATTTTTAAACTTATGTCACTCTGCTTATTGGATAACTTCACTGCACTCAGATTCAAAGCTGCAGATTTGCACAAATGTTAAGTCATCTCAGAAACTATGCATTTGTTTCTTATAGTTACCTAAAACTAGAAAGATAAAGAGTTATATTACATATGGACCATGGCAGGTCCGGATTGCTGAAAACTTAATTTATTCAGCTCAAAAAGCAAGGACTAGCCACTTAAAATTCCATGTGATTAGGGTGACTCATTCTTGGCAGTAACATACTACACCAGAATAGAACATCATCTTGATTTGTAATACTAAACAGAAGCTCATATATACCATAATAAGATGAGAATGAGTATATAAGAGGAATTTATGTGTATTGGTTCAAGTGAATTGAAAATTTGGATACATGTTTTTTGCTTTCTCTGAAATGATCTGGGAGAAGGTCAGAAACACTTGCTATACTGTATCATAAACCAAACTGTATTTTTGCATCACAAAATTGTGTTCTTGCATGTGCCTTTTCATGCAATGTCATTCCATCATGGTGTGTTTTCATTTAAGTGAAAAAGACACAATTCCATGAAATTAATTTTACTGGACAAGTACCTTCTTGGCCATATATGATAATAGATGGTGAGGATACTGGAGATGATATGGAGGGCTTGATAGTATTACATACATACATAAATATATATATATATTTGGGAAGATTCATAGTGTGGAGGAGTAATGGAGTTTTTCCCATAAGTGGTGGAATCCTTAAAATGGAAATTCTTCCTTCTTTTAGTTTTTGTCTCTATACTTTTAAAGTAGCTTGTGAAATGATTTTGTTTGTTTTAATATAAAATTTACAGTATTCAGAGTGGAAGAGAATAAAATTTAAAATGTGCAGAGCCAGACTCTTCACTTTTATGCTGAAGACAGCCTTCCTTTTGAGAAAATTTTCCAAAGAGTAATGATGCCATGGCTTGCTGACTTTTTTGCTGCAGTTCACTATACTTCATGAAATTATTTTCACAAAATGGAGCAGTTGAGCTTCACTGAGCTTTAGTTGTTCATGTGCTTTGCTGAACAGATAAGACACCAAAATCAAGCCTTTGTTTAAAGGGAGATAGTCCCCATGTGTTTATCTCATTAAGGTCTTGATAAAAAAGGTCACTTGCAGGAGGTAGGTTTAGGTCTGTTGTGAAAGGTGGTACATACTGGTAATGAATATTACAAGTGTACTTGTAATTCTCTGGATTTTCAATACTGGTAAGCACAGCCTAGAATTTTATTTTTTTTTTTAAAGTTGCTTAATTCCATAAAATACAAATGGACTATTACGTTGTGGAGAAGAGAATACCATTCTTATTTGGACCTATCATGCTTGTATGGTGCTGCAATATTGAGGTGTTTTTCAGGTAAAATCTAAACAGAGAGACTGGCCCGTGCTCCATTCCACCTCTCTTATGTACGTATTTATATGAATGCGGGATTAGTAATCTGTCTGACCTCTGACAATTTATCTGGTGACTGTGATCATGATAATGTGCAGTTCCTATTAATTTATCACCTACAAGATTTATTCCAAATTTTGAAACCTCTAAACACAACAAATGATTACAGGAAGAAGAGAGCATGACAAGAAAACATTTTCTTCACTTTTCTAAAAATTAGTTATGTAGGCATCTTTTATTTCAAAATAGCCTATGTTCATAAGCCATTATTAATGTAATTTAATCCAGTATTTGTTCTAGCTTTGGCTTTTTAAAGCAAGGATTTGCCTTAAAACTGCAATGTTTGGTATATTTGACAACTGTAATGTATTAAGACTAGAAGCATCAAATCCATAACTTTTTAAGGAAAGGGAGCTTGTATAATTTATAGATGGCTTTAAAATTTTTCTAATACAGTAATTTGAATACAGGATAAGATGTATTCAATAAGAATAAGCTCTGTAAAGAGAAGAGAATTGCAGATGTTATACAGCATTGTCTTATTTTAGTGTTCAAAAATCCTATTTTTATACATATGGTGTGTGTAGTATATAGAAGTAAGATGATATGTGGAATTACATAAGACCTCATCTGGTGTTTTTTAGTAATATTTAATAGAATTCCTAATAAGTCTATCTTTCTTCCCCAGAAATTACCATTGATACAACTGTGTATGTGATAGAAGAAAACTGACAACTGGGCTTGCCTTTAAAACACTAGAATTGTCCATTCAGGACTCAACTGTTCTCTGTGTTTTCTTCATACTGTTTTCTTTTGTTGACATTAGTCAATACAGTTCTGAATTGGGATTTCATCTCTTGTGACTTTGACTCATGTGAGTGAATCAGCCATTCTAAACATCGCTTTAGGAATCCTGTGTATAGACTATCCAGCACAATACTTCTGTGGCACAAATGTGGTGTGACAAACATACATGTTATCTTAGATTCTAGCATCTTAATATCTCTGGGAGAAGGACAAAAGATAACAGAAATTTGTTAAGTGTACTTAAAAATGCATTCTTTCACAAGTAAGTGACAGGCAATGGACAAGTGTATTTCTCAGGCAAACACTCTGGAACACTTCAGATGAGCATTTCTCTGCAACAGATTGAAGTAGTTTCTGGTGGCAATCTTATGTGAGTAAATATTATTAGCACAAGGTGACAGAAAATAGATTGCTGATGCAGGTACAGAAAGCAAAGGAGTAGGGCTATGCACAAGACCTTTGTCATAGAGGAAAATGTTGCTGACAAGTAGAGGGCAGAAATATTTGCACATGAGCTGTATATTCAGTTACTTTGTGGGTTGAGAAGTCTCAGGAAAATTGGTGGGAGATGTGGAGTGATGCTCCAGGGCAGTGAACAGCGTACTTTTCTGGGAAGAGCTGCTAGTGTTCTTCACCTTGCAGATCCTCTAAAAAGCACTCTGGTAGATGTGCCTTTTATTCTTAGCCTTAGCCTGTTGAGCCTGGTTTTCACAGTTAGAAATAATGCATGAAACCTCAGAGTGAAAACCAGTGACCATGGCCAGTCTTTTCAAATGTGAACACAGTAAACTCAGATTAAGAGCTCTATTCCTGCGATTTAATGTAGCTGATGCTTAAACTTGGGCAGCTATAAATCACATGCTGATTTTCAAAATTTGTGACAAGCAGAATGAACACCTGAAGCTGAAATACTGGCTGTGAGTGCCATTTTTATGGACAGACACAAAAAGTGAATGCATTTCCTCTGACTACACTTGAAATTTCCTGGAACTGGGCCAGCTTTGGCCTGCAGATCGTATAGCTTCATTACCATGACTCTGAGCCTGAGTTAATAAGCTGTCCTGAGCAGGCTCATGTGTCTCTGCACCTGTCTCCAGAGCTCCTTGATGTAGTAGAAAAAGATATGTATCCTTTGGAAAATGCTAATAATTCTTTTGTGACAATTGTAAATTCTGTTTTAAACCTGCCCTATTAATTATATGGAGGTATTCAAATTGATGAACCCAGAGAATGGAGCTTGTGCAAGAAGAATTTATCTTGAAAAAGAAATCCAGCTAATTTGTTTATGTGCTAATCCTCCTTGCTTAATTTTTTTTTTTTTTTAATCTTGTCATCCTCAAAAGTTGGGGATGTATTGAATTTTTGAATACAAAGGTACCACCAAATGATAATTTTATTTAAGCTAGTTTGATGACATCACAGTCACTGGAAGGTACTTCACCATAATTTTTTTTCCTTCCATTTAACACTCTACTCACATGAGAAACTTGCTCTTTCTACCGCTGGTTATTCAGATACTGATACTTTGAAGTTAACAAGAGTTTGAGTTCCTGTGCAGTTTTCATGATGAAACCTAGTAAATGTGGAGACACTTCAGTTGCAAGCAAAACTTGTTCATATTTGAAATAAATTTGACTAGCCTTGTTTATGGTAACTAAATGTTTTGTAAGCATAGGCTTTCAGTATGTGCCACTATTTCTAGCAGTCAGGCGTTTAAATTGAAATAATTACCAACACATCACTGTTGTGGACTCTTTTGTAGTTCACACTCAGGTATTTTGTCAAATGAATGTAATAAGCATGTATTTTCTCTTCTCTTTACTAGGGATCTTGCTTGATAAGCTCAAATAAAATGTAGAGTACATTTGAATCATACTTTGGTACTACTTCAAACCTGCTATTCATGAGTGAAGAAAAGTTGTCATGGAAACTTGAACTGAGAGATGCCAGACAATAATTTTTATTCAAATCCTTTATTCAATGAATATGTTCTCTTGCTGTTAATTAAGTGTGAATTACTTACAGTTTCCTTGTATTTTTCTGTTATTTGAAATAAGTTGCTAAGCAATTTCTGTTAATGTAATTTCTGAGTACGTCTTTGCACATATTTAATATATGACATTGAAAAGGATCATTAGTTTTGGTTGAGAAAAGTAGTCACTTGATAGGGTGTGTTGCTTTTCCCTATGCATCAGATATGTTTCCCTTTAAAAATATCCTTTTTTTCTTTTAAGTTCACATTTTTTGATCTGAATACACCTATTTTTTGGATGTTCACTTAACAGACCATCTTCAGAAAGACATTCCTGTCTCTGCACACATTTATTATAATAAATAACTTGTTGAATATATGAAGGCCAAAGGTATTGAATTTGTCACTTGGGCATACTGTAGTAGGCTTTCTTGGAGAACTTTTCCCAGGCTGATTGATTAATTATGAAGCAATTTATCTGACAATATGTGACCTTAGTGCTTCAAACAGTATCTATGCAGTGAAATACTTTTCTGTCATGAGTAGAATATTTAGATTTGGGAATATTCATTAAGTTAGGATTTGGTTTTTTTTCAAGTCAATTTTAAAATTGTAAGCAATTTTTATGGCATATTTTGTTGAAACTTTTTTTTTCAGGTAGGTGTAGAAATTGTTCTGGTATATGAACAAGTTAGTGTACAAGTGGCTGTTTTTATTAAGACTGAAGCTGAAGTACAGACAGGTATTTTTTATAAATTGATGAAATGTGAATAATTGGTTTTGTAGTCAGTTTTCATGATGACCATAGCAATGTGCTTAATATTATATTTAAAATTTTTAACATTTTTTTCTCATAACAGTTAGTAAGTGTTAAAAATACTGAACTGAAAGTCATGGAAACTAAATTTCTCCATGATTCCATTAAAACCGTGAATTCACAGTTTTAATCTCGGCTGCAGATTCACTTCTCCAAGATTCACTTCTCCAAGTGAATTTCTTCAAACTGAACTGTTCTCATGGACAAGTTACATGGGCAAGTTACATGTAGGAGTGGAAAAATACCTGTTTCTACTCCACAGAGCTCTGCAGTTGCTTCTATGTCTGACTTTTTATGTGACTTTGTGCTCATTTACCCCCATATTCATGCTGCTTTTTCTCCTCCTGTGTCTGCTGTTCTAATTTACATGAATTTTTGAAATGTTTTTTCCACTAGGGCTGTTCCTTGATGTTGACATTGATTGTACCAAATCACAGGTATTAGGTGTGCTGTAGTTATCTCTGAAGAAAGGTGGCAGACAAGTAGCTGGGTGGCTCTGGCCACCAGTAGCCTGACTGCCTGCAGTTTCAAACTCCTGGGAGATGGGTTGATTTTAGCAGCTACCATTCCTGTATAAGGTATTCTGGAAATAGGACCAATAGACAGATTTTGCCAGTATAATGCGAAAGATTTTCCTGACAGAGCTGCAACTATATATGCAAATCTGCTGATGTACACTAGCAAAAGCCTTGTGATTTTGTTGTTGCTGTTTTGATTTGGTTTTTTTTCTTGATGAAGTATGTCTAACAATTTTTGACACTGATGCTGATCAGCATTTCTGGACGTGTCATTGCAGGGCTTACATGACAGACTTGAAGGGTTGAACTTCAAGAGATGGAAGTGGAGATACTGGCTGATAAGCAAAAGCTAATGACAGGGACTGTCTTTTCTCTCCCTGATGTGCCTTTCAAGCTTTATTTGCATAGCTGAACTGCTGTTTGTTCACTTTTTTACTGCCCCAAGATCGAGACAAAAAATCATGTTGTTTCAATTGATATAAACATCAATAAAGCTTGCCTTCTTATGTAAAATTCTTGTATATCCTTCATTTTATGGTAGTATTTTCTTACCTCAGCAAGATGTGGCTTGACTTCAGAATCATGCAAGTATTTCCTCGTTGATTCTTTCTAATCTTTGGCAGGTGATCTGTGAAACTGCTAGTTCAATCCCTACCTTATTGTAAGCTTTGTCAAAATCACTGTTTGTGTTTAGACAGACTTTGAAAAAACATTTTCTGAAAAAGATCTTATTCAGACAGCATTTCAGATCCTGAAAACACTCATAGCACAAACAAAATAAATAATTTTTCTTTTTTTCAGAACCTGATGTTTGAGAGACCTTGCTTAGAAGACAAGTAGTTTATGCTTAAGAAAAGGTAGTGTAAAGTGAGAGAAAATTATCTTCTCCAGAGGCTTTGCTTTACTTGTTTAGAAGGCTAGAAACAACATGTTAAGATAGACTACATGAAAACTCTGTTTAGTAAGAAGAATCAAGTGCACTTGCAAGGAAGAAAGGAAGAACTTTCTTTGTAGAACTTATTTGTGCAAGAAGAGAACAAATTTATGAAATATCTTGAAATAAATTCTTTGTAGATAGGAGTAGGTCTTATAATGAAAATACAGTTCTATACTTTATAATGAAAGTATAGGTCTTCTTATAATGAAAATAAATTACCATGGTGAGCCATATATGCACCTGGGCAGACCAAAAGAAATGGTCCATGGTGTAGTACAACTTTCAAACTGTAGCAAAAATCAGTGTCCAATTTACTAATGTTTGTTCAGAGAAAAGTAGCATTTCAGTCTAACAGTAGCGAGACATCATCATTAAACTAGCGAAAAGTCCAGTGCTTGATGTAGTTTCTAACTCAAGGCTATTTTGGAAATAGCCATTCTTTTATGCATGCTGTGAGGGTTTGGAGGCTTGAGGTTAAAACAGCCTTTTGAAATACCAAGACTTCCATGTTTCATGGCTTAAGTGTTTGTGGTATTAAATTTGGACATATTCTGCTCATCAGATGACCTCTGTGGAGGTATTACATTTAACATTTGTTTAAAAAACTTCTTAAAAGAGTGATAGCATAGATTTTGTTTCAACTAGGCTGTACATAAAACCAAGGTTTTGTCCTGTTTGGAACCCATGTGCCTGTAAAGACAAATATGAAGTACTAGCAGCATGGTGAGTAAGATGGACATTGTGTATGGAAGATGGACTTTATTAGCCAGATTAATTTACCACTGGTTATTCACTTTATACACTTATGGGGCCACATCTGGAGTACTGTATCCCTTTTTGGGGCCCCAGTTCTTGCCAAAACTTGGGTGAGGTCAGCAGTAGGTGCTTTGAGCACATAACATTCTGACTGAGGACAATGGGTTTTTTTGGCTCTCTTTTCAAAAGACTTAATTCTTCAGCTGCATAATGAGGGCTGTTCACAAGATGAAACACCACTGCTCCTAGGGATGTGAGCTTGAAGGACAAAAGGCAACAGTCCCAACCTGCAGAAGAAGAGATTCTAAGTAGGTATAAGGCAAAAAAACTGTTAATTGTGGGAGTGATTAGGCACAGGTGCCCTATGAAAATATTTAATGTTGGTCTCTGGAGATTTCTCATTGTAGGACAAACATTGAGCAACCTAATCCAACTTGGAGGCTCTTTGGAGACTCTTTTGGGTAAGAGCTTGGACCAGACAACATACAGGGACAACCAAAGTGATTCCACTTAAATAAAGGCTAAATGTGAACAAGATGAGGAGACAGACATATAAAAAAATTCAAAGTGCTAATCACTTTCTATGGGTTTTGTGTTATTAAAGTATTTTTCTTGTGTTAGTGCTAAAGATCAAGTGTTATAAGTGGCACCTTGGATAAAAACTAATTCCATCAATAATGGATGTCTTTGAAAAAAAGCTTAATTTTTGAGATTTTAATTTTTTTCCCCATATAAGTAGGTAGAATATATTGAAATAAAACTTTAAGCACATCAGTGTAACATTTTATGTCTTGTCATCTGTTTATTGCATTTCAGACCATCCATTGCAATTATCATAACATCTGAGACTGGGAACATTAGCGATAAACAATTAAACTTATTAGTTAGCTAGCTCTAAAAATAGACTTAATTCTTTATCAGTCAACAACACCTGCGATGGAATTCTAGTTTTATTTCCCGCTTCAAGTGCAGAAGCCATGAAATTACCCAGAAGAGTAAGATGCAGAGAAGAAAGTTTATAATGAAATATAATGCTGGAAAGTATGAGACAATTGTGTTCCATGCACCATCTATAGTAATTATATCCCTGACTCTCCCCTCCTGTAAGAAAGGAAGAGGTTCTTTTGTTGACACTAAACAGGTGGCCAACCCACCACGTGTGGAGATAAGATCGATGGAGATGAATCAAAGTATCATTTTGTTAGTGACAATTGTATTTATTTTTAAACAAAGATGTTTAGTTTCTAACAGGTCAGGTAGGAGTCAATAACAGACTATGCAGAAATCTGAAATAACTTTCAAGCCTTTTTTCTGTAAAGTTCTTTTAATTATGTTTGATTTATTTTTCCTTTAAATTTCGACCCTGAATCTATTTACAGCACAGTTTCATGTGGAGGTGTGTTGAAGAAAGAAAGCTTTTGGTCTTTTGGGTGGACTATAAAACATGCTGTCTTGTTAATTTCCTCTGTGCTTTTTTTTTGTAAAAAGCTTCCAGCTGTTTCCAAGTAATGATTAGGTATTGGTTATAGTAAGAGAGATGGAAAATTCAGATAATTCAAGAAAAGCTATGATTGGGGTCAAGTTATAGAATGCCACCCATCTCCTGAGATGTGAGGAAAAGAGAGAAAGAAAATGGGAGAAAATAAAACACCTGTCTAATGTCGTTCCATGGGCAACTATACTGTTTCTCTTTTCCATCCATTTCTGGATCTAGACCCTGCAATTACTTGAGAATTAAATAATTTAGCAACTATTTAAATAACAAATTATGTAAAGCTTAATTAACCATAATACACCCATCAGAAACATGAACAAATGTAGAACAGCAGGGAATAGATCTACCCACACAAATTCTCTTTCTTCCTGAAAGACCTAGCACAGATAATTGCCTTCTTCTTGGTCCAAGTGACTAGAAAACATTTGGGGCTTTTAAGGATATTCTGGTGAGGAAAAAAGACCAAGCAGTGAGCTGAGTTAGTTTGTTCTGGTGTGTTTGTTTGCAATAACACAGAAAATTTGGAATTTTTTTTTTGAGCGGAGAAGTAATTAATTAATATCCTCCTCATAGTCTTTTTGTTTAGGGCCAACCATGGTTTTGTACCTCTTTCTATGTCCAAGCAAATCTGATTTTTTTTGTCCTGCTCTATCAGCATCTCACCTTTTCCCTAACTTAAGTGCCCAGCATCCATTCAAACTTCCAATAAAAACATATGAAATCCCTTTTACCAATAGCAACAGAATTCCTTTGGCTGTTTGGTGAGGGGAGATGTCTGAACCAGATGCAATGAGATTTAATTCAGTGTCTAGCAATACCCATTGCCCTAGGCTAAAAGATCCCAGGCAGGTTTTATTGAAAGATGTAGATGTCCTGGAGCTAGGCCATACAAAAAAATACCTTCCATCACTCTCTTTTATTTTTCAGAGTTCCAGGTGTACCACCACCTTTGGCAGATGCATTAACATTATCCCATGAGGAAAGAGTAATTTTTCCAAATGGGCAGCTCCCAAAGTATTCAGATCACACCTTATGCTGTTAAATGTCACCTAGAATCCAACAGACAACTTATTAAGGTCAAAGAGTGTCGATAACCACACACTCAGGAAGTGGTATGATTGAAAATCAAATCCATTGTCACCTTTTCAAGTGTGGAAGAGGAAACCTCATTAAGATCACACTGCAGTAGAATAAGGTAAGATGTGGATAACAACGGAGTGGTCAAACTCAAAATCTGTGTCCTTGTGCCATGATCAGAATTAGATGGGAAGGAGCTGCCTTGGCTATTGAAGCAATATGATTATCTTAACCAGTTGGGAAACTAGCTAAGGTATTTTTAACAGGATAAAGAAGCATAAGAATGTGAGAAGGCATTATTGCTAAGTGTGAGTGGAATTAAATTGAGTAGGTATGTTTTTTCTAGGGAGGCTGGAACAGCAAATGTGAGTCCCAGTGTTGAAGTTATATTGTCACCCCCTTTTTCCCAGCTTTCCCCTTCTGGAGATCACTAACTTTATGGCAGACATCTGGATGATGACTAGTGAAGGCACTTTAGCCACTGCTGTTTCCAGCCCATCATAGTGGCAATATTAAATTCAGTCCACATTCAACTCCTGTTCCAGTTTGTGAGCTGCAGTGATCAACCATTGAAGCAGCTGCACTTAGTGTTAAAATCCCTACCCGCAGGGGTGGCTGAGCAGATATAGAAGGATGAAGCAGGGTTGCAATGGAATAATAGCTCGCAACAACACCGAGTTTAGCTGTCAGAAAATCATACAAATTCTATCAAATATCTGGAAAGATTAAATGGAAGCCTGCCAAGACATAACCTGTCAAAGGCCTGAAGAATTCAAATGATTTGTTTTTACAAACCTGCATAGCCACTACACAGGTTTTTGTGAATTTCACCAAAACTGGAAGTAAATGATTTTTTCGTTACCCTCACCCATGCGGAAACCTTCTATATCATTGGAAATGTTCTTGGAGAATGTGGCACTGATGTAGCCTGTATTAAAAATGTGCTTTATATCAAATGAAAGGGAGAGCCAAAAAAAAAAAAAAAACAACAAAAGAAATACAGACTTGTAAAGAAAGCAGTTAGTTGCTTCACCCCTGTACAAAGTTTAGTTGCTTCACTCCTGTACAAAATTTTAGCAGAGGCCTTCAGCATTAATACAAACCTAAGTGCTGAGCTATTTTTATCGTCTTAATAATCTTCTCAGTGATGGCTGAGACCTCAGAATACATAAACCAAAATGTTTCTATTGTGTTTGTGCTTACTGTATAGCTATCTAATTACTAGTTTTACACTGCTCTGGTGACT